ATAATTTATGAATAGAATTATTATTATAATTCATTTTAATATAATAATTTCATAAAAAATTATTCATTTCACCTATATTTCTATAAAAGCAAATCTTTACAATCGTGAGCAATAGAAAATACTCAATTTTTTTCAGTTCTTTGATATGAGTTCGTTGTTAAATTAATTAGTTTATGAGAGTGAGTAAACAAATGATTATAAATATATTCTCTTTTAGATTCCCCGTAATGAAATTTATTATTTGCAGTTGTGCGTCAAAGAACTAGTTGACGCACAGATTTTTATTGATTATATGATTATATGTACATCTATATATTATATAGCCCAAGTTTCATATTGCAATCAAGGCAAGCCGCAGTCATAAAAGTACTCTATAACAAGTCATATCTAACTGACACACAGTGTTACGGCCCTCTCTATCGATATACGGCTGGTCTTGGCTGGACGCACCCATTTTTTTGCTTCTATACATTCACTATATTTCGAGGAAAGATAGAAAAAGTTTCAGTTAATAGAAATGTCAAAAAGTAAACTTGTTCCAGATTCAAAGTATTGTCAGAAAGAAGCTTCAGAAGTGATAGATAGATAGATAGATATATATATAGATATTTAGAAGATCCGAAGGCAAACGGAAAACACAAAAGGGTAAAAACTATAGGTAACTATCTGAAATTCAGATTCTGAATATATAAAATTATTCTATTTAAATTCAATTCAACTAAGCTGCTAAGCTGAAGTAATTAATTTGTACCCACCAAAAATTATGGCTGTCAAAGGGAAATCCTATACCAAGTTAGTATATGTAACATTTAGTACTATAATCCATTTTCCATTGTAACTCATATGTCTTTCATAATTTAAGAATGGTTAATGGGTTTTTATTATTATTTTGTAAGTTATGTGAAATATAATACATTGAAATATATGTAGCTCTATGAAAGGATAATTTTTCAATCTCTAACTTACCATTTATACTATTTTTATTTTAAGTAAGAATACATATTTTATTTCCATTTGAAGTTGGAGAATACAAAAAATCTAATATTAAGCTGATACACTGT